AAGTGAATATAATGAAAAGGGTTGGCTTGACAAAGAACGAATGAATGAATGAAGTTTGTCTGTAGCATAGATACAGCATAAGAAGTGAGTTTCCCACACTGCCCTACCTGTGAGCCTCACTACTCTGACATGAATGTGCTACCTGTAGAACGTGCGCTGCTACAATGATCACTATCTAGGCCCTTCAGTCTTTGGACTTTCTGCTGAGACAATAAGCTGTCGAGTCTTGGTAGTGATGGAGGTTTTGTAATGTGCAGAATGGAAGTGTGCACACCAACATGGCAAATTTAACCTCTGGGCTCTACATAAAGTCTTTCTTGCAGGCTTTTCCTCCATGGATTTCTTGTTTGGGGTACCCAGATGGAAGGGCAAAAAAACCTAGAGGGGTTCAAGAAAACAAAATGATGTTTTCTATTTTGTTAGGTAAGGACAGCTAACTTTTCTGAGGATGTCTGCTGCTCTTCTGTTGTCTCATTTCTGCCTGGAAGTCAGACCTTTTGTAGGGCTTCAAATACATGTCCACAGTCCCAATTTCCTCCCCATCAGGAACCTGAGTTTAGTGCCTCAGTTCTTTCCTCCTTCATGGATACAATTACCAAAGACATGAGCAGAGATTTCAGTTTCTGTCTGCTAGGCCAGGGTAGATCCTTTGCACCTGGCTATAGGCACTGTGTTAACAGAGAAGGGATAGTGGTGAGCAAAGTGGCAGAGCAGGCTTTCCAATCAAAATGATATCCAGACTCATACTATGATGGTATCACACCTGTGAATATTTCACAGAGCAACTTCTGGTGAACTTGCATATGGTTTGCTATCCATTTGCCAGAAAGATTCTATCCTGACTGTTGTCTGGGCTGTTTGGAGTTAGAAACTGTAAGTCAAAGTGCCTGTAATATGGGGAGGGAATGCTATGTAATAAAAATGCCCCTAGCAGTTGTGGTTAGGCATCTTTACATGTGCTTGGAGGTGGAGGAGGTCAGGGGGGGAGAGAGCTGCTTTAAGTAAAGTGCCCACAGTGTCTCATGTATTCAGTATCCCATGCTTCAAAATGCCAGCGGGGGCAGTTTAACTAAAGCTCATTCAATGAGCTTTAGTTAAAGCTCCCCTGCCACCATTTTGAAGCATGGAGATGCTGAATATGAGACACTGATGCTGCTGGAGCATGCTAATTAGCACGCTGCAGCAGACTCGATTAATCAATTAATCGAGTCTGCTCCGATACACTTTAATTCCAGTCTGTTGGAACAGCATCCCTGAATGTCTACAGGCACCTGTTACGAAATGAGGTGGATACTGACATGGTTCAAAGAAAACAGGGAGGAAGAAGAGAGAAGAGGAAACAGCCAATGCTAATTTTGTTCCCCCATCAAAATGCCTCCTTCGCAATGATTGTTATCTCTTCAAAACTCTAAACCCAAGCACACTTCAAAGTGAACCCACAAACGTGTCTGTTAGCAACTAACTTATGATGAGGGAGGGTCTCTGTCCTAGGATAGCACAGTGGGTTTCAATCTCTCCCCCCCACCCTAAATTCTGACTGGCATATCATCTCCCAGACATGCCCATCTGCTACAATGTGTTTTTGATCTCACACCTAGGCTTGTTTAACTCAGGAGAGGACTCTTTACTTTTCTACTGTTGGATATGCACAGCAGCACAAAAAAGTGATATGTGACCGTATGGCTGACTACAGCAGAAGGCAACAAGGAAGAAGAAACAAGGATGACAGCCTACAATATGGCCTACATAGACTTACTTTGGGAAACAAACTCAGGCATACTTGTTCTGTGAAAATATATAGAACACACAGAGAATAGTTTAGGAGATTGGAAATGAGGTACCATCTTTTGCCTGAAAAGGCAGACACAAATATCAGTCGTTGTAGTAATGATCAGAACCTATGAAATGAATTGGTAGTTTCTGTCCAATTCCAAGTGAATAGAGAAAGGGGGTTATCCATGACAGGTACTCTCCTGTCCGGCTTTCTTCTGTTCAATTTCAAATGTGCAAGCATTCATCAACTTATTGTCATTAGAAAGCATCCTTATGGCAGTCTCAGAAAAAGCCAAGAGCTGAACAGCCACATGTGGATCCTGAATCACATTGGCAACCTACTGTCCATGGGCTGAATCTGGCTCTCCAGAGATTTGCAACCAAAGGCAGGGGCAGGGTTGCAAGCTCTTGCTTGGGGCAACAGCATGTTAATGACTCCTGCTTCAGATTATGGCTGAAGTTACTTGTACCAGGGATGCAGGGTGGAGAGGATGGGGAGATGGGGTGCAAAGGAGACAGCTGGCACTGACCCAGCACATGCTAGATCTGTTTTGAAGATAAGTGGCTGCTGGCTCTCCCAATCAGCTTGACTTTGTTTTTTTCATGCTTTGGGATTAACATGGCACCAAAACAGGGCACTATTCAACTCAAGAGGTCTCTTTCTTAGGGTGAGGTGGGACCAGGGGGATTAGCACAACATGGCTAACGTAAGTGGCTAGGACAGGGTCACCACAGAGTAGGAAGGTCTGCTGCTCTTACAATACAACACACCTTTCCACCAGTAGTTGTAGGCAATAGGGCTGGGGTTTTCACCTGACTGCTATGCTAACCCAGGATTTGGGGAGCACATAGGCTATCTTTGTGTGCCTCCCCTGAGCTCTCTTGTATTTTGCTGATAAGCAAGGATGACTAGCTTATTACACACTCCAGCATTTGTGGTCTAAGCAAGCTCCTAGAGGAAGAGGCCAAGAAATGCTAAATTAGGCAAAAGGCCTTTTGCAGCTGGCTGGGTTCTATACTAGTTGTTAAAATTACTATTAACTCACTGATAAATGGGAGGCTCAGATGTTTTCCTGATGCTCAGGTTCATAAAGCTCCCTTTCCCCCCCCCTAATTCTGTCAGATCTTTAAAGGGTTTCATCTGCCTCTTCAAAGTGAATTTGCAGCCAAATAAGTGAAAGGATGACAACACTGTTCTACTAGTATCTCCCTGCTTCATGTTTCCCTTCTCTCTGCTTTTCCTAGGCCTCACCTCTCATCCCACCATGGCTCTCTGGATCCACTCACTGCCTCTCCTGGCCTTCCTTGCTCTCTCTAGCCCCAGTGTCAGCTATGCTGCAGCTAACCAGCGCCTGTGTGGCTCTCACTTGGTGGATGCTCTCTATCTGGTGTGTGGTGAAAGGGGTTTCTTCTATTCTCCTAAAGGTCGACGGGACCTTGAACAGCCTCTAGGTAGGTGAATCCTTCCCAACTGTCCAGCTGGGCTCATCTCAGACTTATATGGGCACGTTTGACTTTTAAGCACACTTCTCTGTAATCAGTAACTTTTGTTTTCTGCCCATATATTTAGGAAACTTATTGCTTAATCATAACAACAGACTTCCTATGATAGTGTGGCCTGTGAG